CAGGGATTATATCATCATTTTATCTATATTGTATAGATAAGAAAATCCAGCCCAGAGAGAAAAAGCGATCTGCCCAAGGTTATATAGAGCGTCACTAGGAAGGCCAGGCCTTGAACCCAGATCTCCTGCCTCTTAATCTAAGGGTAACCCAGGTTGAGGAGGTTAGTGTGGGCTGCAAGAGGATTCCTGGAGGAAGTAGGTATCTTGACAGAAGGGGAGACATTGTAAGAGTCATCGATCCAGGTAATGGGTACGCCGTAAGGTGCCCTGGTGATAGTACCTGCTCACCTGCCCCTCTGGGGCCCCTCTGCACAGGCACCATCCTGGTGGTTGGCTCTGAGACCAGGGAAAAAGAAGGAGCAAGGTGAGCAATCTGGGGTCCAGCAGACTGACTGTGGGCCATCTCTTTTCCAGGACCAATGTTGGAAGCATTTGCCCGCAAAGCCTTGTGGGATGTGGGGCTCAATTATGGCCACGGGACAGGCCATGGCATTGGCAACTTCCTGTGTGTGCACGAGTGTAGGTATCCCCTCAATACTCCCTCAGGGTTCCCCTTCTTCTGAAAGTGGTAGAGCCTTTCACAGTTATGGAAATGACCAAGACCCTCAAAGGTGCAGTGACCCACCCAAGGTTACCCAGCTGGTTGGAGGTGATGCTCCATGGGGTAAGTGAGAAATGATGGCAGTTTGGTCACTCCTGCTCCCTGCCTGGCATCTGGGAGGGCACCAGAGAGAGGAGTAGTAGGTCAATACCTAGTAGCTGACTGGCATAGACCCTGCAGAAATAAAAGCTAGAGTCAATCTGGTCTGTACCAGCCCCAGGCAGACAATGAGATGGTGGACAAGTGCTGCTAGAGGTGCCCAGGGATCCCCAGTTACCTGCTCTTCCCCGGAGCCTGCTAGTTTCCAAGCTGGTGAGTACAGGAGAGCTGACACCTTACCTACATCTCCCTTTCCAGGGCCAGTGGGATTCCATTCCAGCGGCCTTACTATGGACAAGGGCATGTTCACTTCCATTGGTATGACTCTTGGGCTCCCTCACCCCACCCCCCACCCCAAGAATAGCCCAAGACTGTAGTCTAGGGAGCATGACAGGCACAGGTACTCCCAGGCTCCACTGCTGCCCTCCCTCTACTCCCCACTCCCAGTCCCAAATGGATTGTCCCACCCTAACCCCAGACCCCTTCAGCCCATACCCTCATTTTGCTTTTGGGAGTTGGTTCCCAGCTGTACATCCAAACTATAGAGTCTCCAATCAAACACTGGGGTAACAAAACAGTGGCACACAGGGAGATGGGAATACCTCTGGGACCCAAGTGGGCCCTGAAGTCCTCCCCAGTGGGCTACAAAGGAGGGTGAGGGAGCTGAGGCCCAGTAGGTTGCCTCTGGGTAGCCAAAGAACATCTAACTAGTGGTGGGTCAGCCCCAACCACCAGTCAAGGGCAGCAAGGCAGCCATACCCTGTAGCCAGTCCTCAATTGGTACAGGAAACCTGGGCTTGGGTCCTCCCCTGCTTAATGCCTCCAGCATTTCTGTGTCTCCCAGAACCTGGTTACTATCAGGATGGTGAATTTGGGATCCGTCTTGAAGATGTGGCCCTTGTGGTAGAAGCAAAGACCAAGGTAAAGTGCCTCTGAGATGGGCTGAGTTTTAAACAGCATGGCAGTGTGTGTGTGTGTGTGTGTGTGTGTGTGTGTGTGTGTGTGTGTGTGTGTGTGTAGGAGCATGTACAGAAGGTCAGAGGAGAAGGACATCTGAATGTGTGGACATAAATTTATTTGGAGCCTTCCTTAGCTCCAGAAAAAATCCATAAATCAGAGTTTCTCAAACCTGTTCGCATATTAGAATATTAGAACCACATAGAGAGCTTTTTTTATGTCAGTGTCCAGGTCCCACTCCAGACCAAATGAATCAGTATTCCTGCCCTAAATCATTGGTTCTTAATGCACATAATAATCACCAGGGGAGCTTCTTAGAAGTAACAAACCTATATAATAGCAACCAAGACAAAATACCTAGGTACCAACTTGTAAAAACTTACATGGAGCCTGGCCAGCTGGGCTCAGCGATTGAGCATCGACCTATGATCCAGGAGGTCGTGGTTCAATTCCTGGGCAGGACACATGCCCGGGTTGTGGGCTCGGTCCCCAGCAGGGGGCCTGCAGGAGGCAGCCGATCAATGACTGTCATCATTGATGTTTCTATCTCTCTTTCCCTCTCCCTTCCTCTCTCTGAAATCAATAAGGTTATGTTTAAGAAATAAAATAAAACTTATATGGAGAAAATCTGTACTCAGGGACATCAAAAAGATTTAAGTAAATGGTGCTCTCTGGAAAGAAACCCCAATATTATGATGCTGCGGTGCATGCAGGAGGCAACAAATCAATGTGTCTCTCTCACACTGATGTTTCTCTCCCTCTCTCTCTCTCTCTCTCTCCTTCTCTCCTTCTCTCCTTCCCTTCCACTCTCTTTAAAAATCAATGGAAAAAATATTGTCGGGTGAGGGTTAACAACAACAAATTATGCCTGTACTTTTTGTCTCAGCATTCCCTCTGCCAGATATATATCTTCTAGATATAGTTACAAAGGGTCATCAAGATGTTTATATACAATGATGCTGATTGTAGTATCGATGGTAATAGTTCAAGGAGTAGAAACAGCCTAACTCACTGGTTAAATAAATCATGATCCACGTACTATGGATCCTTACACAGCCCTTAGAAAGACTGAGCTGCATCTCCCTGTGCTAGTAGAGTGCTCTCCTGGGTTTACTACTGAAGTGGGGTGGGGAAAAGAATGTGCAGAGTGGTGTATGATAGGGTGCATTTTGCATGAATTTTAAAAATATATACACATATAAACTGTAAATGCCTAAAATGTTTTCAGGAAGGAAAGTAGGCAGGAGGAGACTTTCAGCTTTTATTGGGTATCTTTTTGTAGTTTGAATTTTCGAAGCACATACATGCAAGAGCTCGATGAGAGATGAAAATTATGGGCTATTTTTTCTTCTTTATACTTATCTCTATAGACAGATTCATCAATAGATATGTAGGTAGAAATATAGATAGAGATATATACAAATAGAGATTAGACAGATAGATATAAAAATCTAATACTTACCTTTAAATTACTTAATTGTAGGTTCCCAGCCCTGCCCAGAGATTCTCACTCCAGTAGTTTGGGGGGATGGATCTCAGAATCTACACTTTTATTTTATTTTTTAATATATCTTTATTGATTTCAGAGAGAGGAAGGGAGAGAGAGAGAGAAAAACATCAGTGATGAGAGTCATTGATCGAGCCCACAACCCAGGCATGTGCCCTGACCGGGAATTGAACCCTGATCGCCTGGATCCTAGGTCGACGCTCAACCATTGAGCCACACTAGGCCAGGCAGAATCTACACATTTAACAAGTTCCCTGGGTGCTTTGTGGATGCACACACTCTGAGAAATACAAGCCTAAGTCTAAATTTAGGAATCAGGAAGGAAGCACCAAAGGTGGGGTGCTAAGTAGTAGAAAGCAGGGTAGCCAAGTGCATTGTGGGAGGCTTAGGCTTCCCCAGAGTCTGTCAGCTCCCTGTGCCTGGCTTCTGGGTGGAGTGTTCCAGCCCTTCCTTCACCCTAGCTCCTCCCCCTCACTTACTTCCTGCTTTCCCAACTTCCCTGTGGCCTCCCAGTACCCAGGAACCTACCTGACCTTTGAAGTGGTGTCCTTGGTGCCCTATGACCGGAACCTCATTGATGTCAACCTGCTGTCCCCCAAGCAGGTGAGTGCCCCTCAGCACTGTCTACCCTTCAGCCCCTTAGCCACTGCCTGCCTTCTCCACCCTGGGCCTCTCTCACCTCTGCTCCCCCTACCCCAAGGCCCTCTGCCCCTTCCTCTCTGCTGGGCACACACTGGGGTCTTCCTTCCTCACTCACTAGAGACCCTGGAGGTTCTAGAATGCTCCAGTTAGACCAGGTAGTAAATTCCTGGAGAGTCTGAGACTAGGTCTCTGGACTCTGCCATCTCAAGTCCTAGAACTAAAATCAATCCCTTCCCACTCTGGTCCACAGTCCTCTCTTCTGTAAAGTGGGATAATGCCTGCCCTACTTACTCTCCTTCCTGGGCCTGCAATCCACTCCCCCCACCCACATCCCAAGAAAGTCACCATGACATTAAACAGCCATTGTGTCAAACTGCCTCTGAAAAGCCCGGGAGGATGCCTGAGGCCTGATGATGGCTGGGGAATTGGGAAGGAAGCACAGAAGGTGGGGTGCTAAGTGCATAAATCCCCTGTGGGGATCTACAGGGTACCTATGGGTACGTGGGCCAAAGGGGGCAGCTGAACTACCACAGCAGGGGACCGGATGGTACCAAGACCTCAGCTCTTGGCAGCTCACCCTGGGGATGACCTCCTCCCTCCTCCCTTTGCAGCTCCAATACCTGAACCGGTACTACCAGACCATCCGCGAGAAGGTGGGCCCCGAGCTGCAGCGGCGCCAACTGCTGGAGGAATTCGAGTGGCTGCAGCAGCACACAGAGCCCCTGTCTGCAAGGGCTCCGCGCGCCACCTTCTTGGCCTCTCTATTGGCAGCCTCCACTCTTGCCATCCTCGGCTGGAGTGTCTAGAGGCCCAGGACTCCCCTGCTAACCCTCTTGCTCAGTTCCCTTCACCCTGCACCACCCATGCCCCAAGAGCTCCTGCTGGCCCCAGGGTAAGAGAGCCAGCTAGTTCCTTTCCTCCAGTGAGGCCAGTAGGCCAAACCTTTAATCTGGCAGCCTGTTGCTGCTGTCCCCAAAGGCCAATATAGGGTAGTGCCTTACCCCCAGGGGCCCATGGCCCTGGGAGAGCCCCACCCCAAAAGCACCAAAGCTGTTCCTGGACACTGGCTCCTAACTCCTTGATCTTCCCATGCCCTTGAGGCTGCCTCTGGCCACCCCCACCTGTACCTGGCCCTACAATGACCTTCTGGCTACTGCCCACTGGCTGAAGCAAGGCCTGCTTCCAGGCTTCCTGCTATGCCTATAGAGGGGGAGGAAGGGAGGGTGGTTGCATCCTCTGGTGCCTTACTGCCAGCCCAGGGTCAGGGAGACCAGCCAGGGAAGGGGCGTGTACACCAGCCCTTCACCCAACATGTGAGCCCATCGCTCCTAAACCCTGGGTGGGCTCCATGCAAAGTGACAGGATAGGGAGTTGAGCCCTAGGGATTTGGCCATGGTGCAGGAGGGGATGCGGGAAGCCCTCTGCAATATGAAGAATATGGTCCTACCCGAAGTGAGGAACAGCCCGAACAGCGACCCCTACTCACTCTCTCAGATTTCCCAGCATGCGGGAGCCCATTTAATTTTCCAAAGTGCCACCACAGTGACAATGCTGTTAATCCCTCGGCATCTTTGGATGACCATTAACCTGTGAGACAAGTGTCTGGTTTCCCCATTTTACAGATAGGAAAACTGAGTTCCAGAGAGGGTAGGATCTGCCCAAGGACACATAGTGTTTGGTTGGGACATGGTGGGACCAGAATGGGACGGCAGTCCAGCTCTTTGGACCTTTGGCACCACGGAGGATCCCTTAGCCTCCCTCCCAGCCCTCTCCTGGCTCTCTGAGCCCACTGTTGGTGGGGGTGGGGAGCGGGCTTTCTGGCCAGCCCAGCCAGCCGTTAGCCACCTGAACTCACATCCTGCTAGATACTTAAAACAACCTGGCAACAAAGCCTGCAATTGGGTTTTGCATTGTGTCTGCTGTGTTGCTGGGGACTGCTGTTACTTGTGGCTTTTGTGGTTGGGGAGGCGAAGTGGGGGTGGGGATGTGAGGCTCCCAGAAGCTCGGCTGGGGAGCACATGTGCTTGAGAATGCGCCTGTGAGCATGCGTGCGGTGTTCCTGTGTTCACATGCATGCCACGCCCAGTCCACCACCTCCTGTGCTAAAGGTCTTGGACCCCATTGGAGGGAACAGAGGGGAGCCTCACACTGGGGCACTTGTCCAATGTGGTCCAGGCAAGTTGGGACCACCACCTTTGCTCAGAGGAGCATTGTCTGGGAGAAGAAAGAACCAAGTTTCTGAGGCAGAGTGCTGGGTGAAGGCACCAGGTGGAGGAGCCCCCAGCTTGGGACCACCAGGCCTAGTGTGCCTGTGACACTTATTCCCAGCAATGCTTGTGTCCAAAGGCCCCAGCTCTGAGCCAGCCTCACTGAGGCCCTCAGCACCCAACAGTGGGCCTCTGTTGGCTGAGTCATTTGCTCCCTCACATGATCACCCCATGGAGACAGCTACTAATAATAAAATTACAGGTTCCACCACCAACGTCGTCATCAGTGCTACCGTCTACTGAGTGTTTAGTATGTACCAGGAACTGTGCTTTACATGCATTCTTTTAAAATGTTTTTATTTTATTGTGGTAGGAACACTAAATGTGAGATCTATCTTCTTAATAAGTGTTTAAGTTTTTACATTATTGCATTTTCTCAATTCCCACGGCCTGTGAGAAGGTTTCTTTTATTCCCATTTTATGACTGAGGCTCATAGAGATTAACCAACTCGCTCAAGGTCACTCAACAAGGAAGTGAGAAAAGCAGGATTTAAACCAGTCAGATGCGTCTAGAACTCACTCAGTGAAGGATGAGGAATGTGGCTCGCATCATTTCATGGATGAGAAAACTGAGGCGCAACCAAGATGAAAGAGCTGATGAACTGGGACTCAGACCCAACCAGTGTTCCCCACACTGCCCCGCTTCCCCAGCGCCTGCCCGCCCAGACCTTTACCTTTGGGCCCTGACACTTGTTCCTGCAGTTCCAGCAGGCTATGGGCAGCAGGGGGGCCCTGGGTGTCTGACCAAGACCCACTCACAGGCCCTTCAGCCCAAGGTGGCTTACACGCTCCTCTTTCCCCACTTTAGTGCAAGACCCAAGGTTCTGTCTCATCTCCTCCCTATAACTTAACTGCCCCTTCCAATCCACAATCTTGGGTTGAGAAACCCTACCCCAGAAGCATGGCTGCAGAGGGGGCTGCTGCCACCCTGGATCATCCCTTCCAGTGTCCCCTCCAGGCACACTGACCATCCCTTTTTAAGGGTTGCACTCTGGGTCCGGCAGGGAAACACTCAGGGCACACACAGCAAGGCTAACATAAGCAGAGGCACTTGACACATCCTTCGCCATGAACTGAAGATAAATAAATGCCCCTTGGGCTTTGGTCCTTTGTCTTTATGCTGGAGGGTGGGGCTTACCCCTCCTTGAAACGCCCCCCCCCCCATTGCCACTGCGGAACAAGCCATGTGGAAAAGCCCTTCTTCCTAGGAGTTAGGATTCTAGGGTTCTAGTCCCAGTTGTGCCAGCTATGTGACCTTGAGCAAGTCCCTTCATCTCTGGTCTTTAGTTATCCCTCCTGTAAACACCACGTGCCACCTGCCTCATGAGGTTACAGTGAGAGGCCCATAAAGTCCGGATGTAACAGGACCCTGTAAGCCAGGCAGGCACATAGACAAGAGATGATATGACTTCAACTCTTGCCTCACCTTTGGAGGTAGGTAAGGAAGAGATTTGGGACCCAAATTTTATATAGAAATCATCAAAACTAGACAGGCTTTCGAGCAAGTATCGAATTTGTGTTTTGCCAGCTCTGCTCCCTAGAGCCTGGTCTTCCTCAGAAATCTCACAAGACCTGCCACAGAAAGAGCTCCAGCCAACAGCAGCCCATGTGGGCTTCCCATCAAATTGTATTGCAAGCAGTTGCCGGGCCAGCTTCATGGGTCATCTGCCCATGCAGTAAGCACTTGATTTAATCATTTTTGAGCAAGGGGCCCCGCATTTTCATTTTGCACCAGGCTCTGCAAACTCCATAGCCAGCAGCTCCATGAACAAACAAACAAACAAAAAGTGGGTTCAATCCCTTCATTGTACAGATGGGGAAACGTCAGAAATAGGAAAGGACTTGCCCAAGATCACACTGCCCGTTGGGGCCAGAGATAGGACTAGATCCCCATCGTCCTGACTCAGCTTTGTGCTGCCTCCTTCCTCGCCTTCAGTGGATGCTTCTGTCACTCCCTTACTGCCTCCGATGAGCAAATTGGGGCCCAGGGAGAGCTGTGTGAGGTCACACATCTATGACAACAGTGGTTATGATGGCATTGAGATACACATCTTGATGCCTTAAATCCTTTTTGGAATAGGAAAGAGCATGGGTAAGATGCTAGATACAGACATACATACATAGAGTCTGAACGGTTCATTTCAAAAATTATAACTAAGGCCTCACTCATTTGGCAGCCAGCTGGCTCCAGGTCTTCATGGATTGAGACTGTGGAAGGGGTGGGGCTGGCTAAACCAAGCCCCGGCTAAACCAAGTCAGCAGTGAATTTTACCAACTCACTGGTCACTTCCTCAAATCAGTGGTTGGGCACTCTTGAAGCCAAAAAAAAGAAGAAAGAAAGAAAAAGAAATGTGAAAGATTTAATAGCAACTGTTTCCTCTCTGTCCATCCATCCCTGCCCTCCAAGGCAGTTTCAGCTGGGAGTGGGAGGTGCTCCCCAACCCTGCCCAGCCAGCCAACCCTTGCCCTGAGGCCGCCCATCTTCTCACTTCCTTGTTTCTTTGTGAAACAGGAACTGAGCAAGTAGAGTAAAATGGGTAGTTGAGAAAGCCCCAGTGGTCCATGGCAAGGCCATGAAGCTGAAAAGCTGATTTCCCTCCCAGCAGTCCCACGTAAGTAGCAAGTACTAGGCCCTCTTGCTTGTCACACCTCCTGTGTTCTAAAATAGCTTGGACCGGGGGACCCTGCCCTTGACAAGGTGGAGATACAAAGATGTGAGCCACAGAGTCATGGAGCAGTGAGTCAGATGGGGCCCAGATGAGATGTAGAAGCAAGCGCCAAGGCAAGAGAAGAAACACTGGGTGGAGCCTGGAGTAAACTGAAATGGAGTCACCTACTGGGTACCAAGCACTTTCCATGAGCTGGGCACTGGGCTGAGAGTGCTCTCTCTGTACAAGTCATCTGGGTAACTCTGGTTACTTACACACACACACACACACACACACACACACACACACCATTCTCCCTCCCCAAGCAAGGCTCACATCATCACTGTTTCTGTCTTCACTGGAGCTCACTGTCGGAAATCCTATAGCCCGTAGATGATGTGAGGTGATTCGAATGCAGTTCTCCTGACTCCATTTCTTCTAGGTCTTCTGCTCCTTCTCTTCCTAGAGCCTTAGACAAATGGCCCTTAGACTGATCAGCAACCTTTGTCCTTGTAACCCTGGGACAGAGGCCTAGACAGAGTAGCCCAGTCCCTCCCAGTCTCACATAGAAAGGGCCTCCAGTGAGTTTTTTATCTGAGCACCAAAACCCAGCCTCCTCTTCTGATGGTAACCACCACAGCTGCCTGCAGGTGTTTTCTTGTTTTTAAACCAAGAACTTATCAAGAATTCAGAGATTCAGAGATGACTGTCTCTCCCTTCCATCAGCTCCTGCTACCAGGAGCTCCCCAGTGTCCCCAGAGCTGCAAGCTCTGTGTATACTGTTTGTGTGTATGAGGACTCTCTGCTTCTCACCGTGGGCCCTTGCTCACCTCTGCTCTCCTCCCCCCTGCACTTTCGCTCTCTGGCCCTCCCTGCCTAAGCTCACCACCACGAAATCCACTAATGGGGTGGGCTACCAAGTGGACTTCGCCTTGGAAATGCCCAGGTATTTTCAAGGAACAATGTGGCCTCTGCTTGAGCATTTCTAGAGATGGGGAGATCACTGCTTACCAGAGCTCAGGTGGTGCCATTTTAATATTAAAATTGTCTTCTTTGGAAAGAACGCAGCTTTCCAACAGCTATTTGAAATCAACTTGCTTTCCTGCCCAACCCTCTAGGCCAAATACTACAGATGTTGAGTCCTCCCCAGGTTGACAAAGGCTCCCTTTTAGGTCACCCCACTTAATCAGCCCTAGCTATTCAGCTCTTGTGCATATGAGGTGACTTCCAGATGCGAACCCCATCCTCTTTACTCCCTTCCGGGCCTGCTTCAATGTGGCCCTGTGGCACCTAGTCTGGCACCCAGCCAATGTAGGGTGTCAATTCTCTCACCTCCTCTTTCTGAAACTCAGCATCAGAGGCACTTGAGACTAGTGGTTGATAGCATGGGCTGTGGACCAAGACCAGACCTATGTTTAAAACTCGACTTCTACTGCTTCCTAGCTGTGTCTTACACAGTTTGCTGAGTCCCTCTGAGCCTCAGCTTCCTCCCTGGAAAATGGGGATAGCAATGGTGCCTGCCTCAGAGGGTTGTAGTAAAGCCCACTGTGTGTGTGCATGTGTGTGTGTGTGTGTGTGTGTGTGGCAGGGAGAGGTGAGAATAAGAATCATTTGGGAAGTTCTTCTAAATATAGGTACCCCTTGCTATCCAAACTCTTACTTTCTCAAATCAGCACTGTACCCATTTGGAGAATAAGGGATACTTTCACACGTGTCAGGGTTCCACCTGGCTCAAATATTCTACCTGTGATCTTCTACTAAATTCTGTGTCCACCCTCTGAGGGTTCAGATAGATGTCACTATCAGTGGACCACCGCCAACACACACACACACACACACACACACCCTGCACCGCAATACTGGTGCTAAATCAAGGCTCTCTTGTCCCACATTTATACTGGGCACATCTTTGCAATAATCATCTCAATTTAAACTGTAGTCAGCCATCTGTATCTATGGATGCTGAACCCACGGATATGGAGGGCTGACTAAGGGACTTGAGCATGCTTGGATTTTGGTATCTGCTGAGGGTCCTGGAACCAATCCCCCCCCCCATACTGAGGGATGACTACTTAGCTCATGGGGTTCTGTAGGGATTAATGTGCTTAGCAAAGGAGGAGCACCCGGCAAATGTAAGCTTGCTGTCCCACCTAGGATGCAAGGTCTCAGGCACAAGGGCCCTCGACAGCTATTTCTATCCCATCTCCTCAAGGACCTAGTCTAGCACAGGCTGTGCCCAGAGCTAAATCCAAGGTCCTGTCTGCCAGCCCATTATCAAGTTTCAGGTGGCCTTGTTCAGTGAACTACTGACCCGCAGCACTTCCTTAGCTGAGGGCTCTGTGTACCTGAAACATAACCTATAAAATGCAAATGTGTTGCCCAGAAGGGCAACCTATTTAAAAAGTGTTTAAGACCCATTAGCCAGCTGGGGGCTTGACCTAATGGGACTCAGGCCAGGGCAATCTGCTGGGAGAAAAAAGTTGGGGGCAAGCAAGTCCGGATGGGGGAGCCCTAGACCCCCCAACGGGGTCTGCAGAGCAGAGGAGACAAATCTGAAAAGGCGAGGAGGGCGGGGCTGAGAACACTCCCTCCCCGCGTTCCCGACTGCCCTCACTTCTTTCTGCACTTCTGTCCCCGAGGTCCCCTCCCACACCCGCCAC